TCCCTATAGACGTGACCTGTCCAGTTGAGGCCCTAACACAACAAGACTGGTGTTCTGTTTTAGGGACACGGACACGCACACAGGGACAACGCCACAGGAACTTGAACATCTGCCCCCAGCACAGGGAGACAGTAACATTCTGTCCTTTAAGCTGCCTGGTCTGTGGGGCTGCGTCTCAGTCACCGGGAAACTGAGACAGGAAGTTAAGGGAGGCAGGGCAGGACTGTGCACCCCCTGTACGCACACGGCACGTGTGCCACACATGCAGGCGTCCCTGCCGTCACACCCACCCAGACGCCCCTCACCTGCTCCGGCACATGGAGCGCAGCTGCGGCCCCAGTCTGGTCCGGGTCCCTGGAGGCACCTGGGTCTGCAGTGCCTGCACTGGGGTGGCCACTCCCCTTGTGCACCACCTCCTGCAGCTCGACCCTGGCCTCACGGTCCTCAGAGGGTGCCACCACTGTGCCCTCCTGTTCCAGCAGTGGTCTGCTGTCGGCGCTAGGGGCTAGAGGGCTCCATACCACATCCGTGGGCAGCAGAATGGCTCTGTGGTGGCTGCCTCCCTGTGACAAGAACAAAGCCGTGACTTTTGGTGGCAGCGGCCTGCAGTGAGGCCCTCCCCAACCATTTTGGGGGAAATGCCACCTCATCTGACAGCTCAGCTGGGGCTCTGTGGTAGCAGAGAAAAGTGCTTTGTGGGGTCAGGTGCAGGCTCAGCCCCCAACTCTGAGGGGCAACCCACATGGGGGGCTGTGTTTGAACCCAGCAAGACAGGTCTGCATCCAGACCCCTGGGACCTGGGAATGCGGCCTTTGCAGACCAGGGAGCCATACTGGATGACAGTGGGCCCTATGTCCGGTGCCCAGTGGTCATCAGGAGACAGACCCACAGGGAAGAGGCCGGGTGAGGACTGAGGCCGGTGCTGACTGATGGGTGCCCATGCCAAGGTGGACCGCAGAACACCTGGTCACCCGAGACGAGGTGAGCGCAGGGGCGGGTGGACCCCACCCCAGGGCCTAGGAGGAAGCCAAGCCCCTCCCACCCCTAACACCTGGTTCAGACTTGTGGCCTCCACATCCGGGACACGGTCAGTTCTGTGTCTTTCAGCCGTGAGTTGGGGAGGACGTTTCGCAGCCCCGGGAAGCTGTATAAACCCCATGCCCCCTGCGCCCCCTGTGCACCCCGAGGTCTAGGCCAGCAGAGTGGGGTCTTCCCCAGCTCGGCCGCTCCAGGCTCTAGTGGGGGGAGCGGACGCCACCCGAAAGGCTGAGCTGCGCACGCTGGGGACGCACAGGGACGGGGATGGGGGCTTACCGAGCTGGTCCTGCAGCGTCTCTGGACATAAACAGAAAAATAAAGTCTGGTCTAGGAGATGCAGAGAATGAGCCGGGGGATGGGCGTGGGCGGGGCAGGGAGGTGGGGACCACCTGCAGCTGGGTCTCACCTTGGGTGCTCCGCTCCCGCTGCAGCTCTGCCCGTGCTGCTTCTCTCTCAGCTCATGCTCTCTCCCCTCCTTCTGGAGCAGGGCCTGGCTCCTCTTCCGCCATCGCCACAGCAAGATCACACACAACAGGGGCACCGCAAGAACCAGCAGGGTCAGGGAGAGCAACAGAGTCCGAGGCTGTGTGTCCCTGAAGAAGGCACCTGCGAAGGGGTAGCAGCAGCCCCTGAAAGGATCTTTCTGTCCCCAGAGCGCCCAAACTCTCAGTGCCTCACAGTCAGGACGGTTTTCCTGAAATGTCTCCGCCCCCATGGGATCAGATGGAGCATGAGGACGCACAGTGTCACTGACGTCCCCTCTGCACCCCTCTCCCCCCACTGACTACGTGCCCTCCTCACTCAGCAGAGTCTGGTGACGAAGAACAGACTCTGGGGCTGGGGACCTGGGTTCCAGTCCGGGGTCTCCTGCCCGACCTGCGCTGTGACCTTGAACGAATGATGTAACCATCTCTTGCTGGTGTCCTGACCAGCGAGAGCATTCAGTTAGTGCTTATGCAGTGCCTGACGCAGGGTGAGTGCCACGCAGGTTTCATTCAGTTTTGAAAACTTAATATACTTAATTTTATCTTGTCTGCAGCAAAAACAGCCCCTATGCAGCTGGTGTGCAGGCTGTCTCCTGTCCTGTGACAACAAACGTCTGAGGGACTGTCTCCCCACAGTCTGCCACCAGAGGGCGCCCACCCCCTCATTTGTCCTGCTGCCAAATTCACACGTGGGAAGTTTCCCTGTTCCCTCAGATTTGGCTTCCTCCTGTGAGTTTTACCTTCCTGGGAACTGATGATTCCCCTTTTCACTCTTTTGTCCACCGTGTTCCTTTATATTGTAAGGACATTAGCCCTTTCATTAAGATTTCAGTTGTATGTATTTTTCTCCTCCTGGTGTGTTTGCTGATCTTTGCCCTCTGTCCCCACATCCCACTGCCTGGCTCCGTGTGTGGCAGGAAGTGCTTAGCAGGTGTCTGTGACATGAACTGCTTCAAGGGAAGGGGCTGCAGGTCCCTGCCATGTGCCCTACAACGACACAGGTCAGTAGCAGACCACTCACCTGGGATGGAAAGCCTGGCTGACCTCTCCTGGACCAGCAGGGGGTTTCTGATGACACAGGAGACCCCCTCCCCAGAGCCGCCTTCCAGGATCACAGAGGCTGAGGCTGCATAAAGGCCCTGGGGGTCTGCAGCCGCAGATGCTGCCTTAGCAGACAAGCTCTGTCCCCTGGCATCTGTCCACTGGATCTGGGGCTGTGGGTACCAGCCAGCAGACGTGCAGTTCATATGGATATCTTCAAGCCAATAGCCCTTCATTCCAATGTGGGGATCGGAGCCCAGCGCTGGGGAGGAGAAGTGAGCTGAACTGTGGGGAGCACTCTGTACTGGTGGGGTCTCCTCACCAGGAAGGGGCGCCCACACTGACGAGCCCAGCAGGGACTCACCAGGAGCTGCTCCCAGCGTGTGCTGTGCAGCAGAGACTGATCCCTGATGGGGCCACTGCCTGACCCTGGCTGGACCCTCGTGCTGGATCAGGGGGCTCTGGGCCCGAGCAGAGGCTGCTTCCCCCAAGTCCCCTTAGAGACTGCCGCAGCCTCCCCCCGCCCCCGCCCCAGACAGGCTGGTCCCTGGCACAGCCCCTCACCCCTCCCTGGGCAAGCATGCAGGTGGTGCCCCTTAGCCTAAGTGGGCCGCACCCCACTGTCCCTGTCCGTGCTGCCTGTCCTGTGGGGGTTGTGCCCTCCTGTGAGCAGGAGGACACACACAGGGGCCTGGCATTGAGTCAATGCAGCTGCTGGAGCAGTGACTCGTATGCACGGCCCCTTGGGAGGCTGCTGCTGCCCTCACTGCCCGGCTGCTCAGCTCTCCCTCCAGGGTCACCCCCAGAAGTGTCCACAGGGAGGCTGTGCAGAGGGGAAAACTTTCCCACAGAAGACAGTGGACACAGGGCCAGGAAGTGGGAAGTTACTGCCACTTGTCCCCACACCCTGAACACACGGAGGGGGAGGAAGCCCTCTGAGGACCTGAACACACAGAGTCCTACAGGGGGGCTCTGTCGGGGGAGCCGAGGTCTCCAGGAAGGGACAGCAGGCTGAGGAGGGACCCTGCGGGGACAAGGCCAGGGGGCCGCACCGCCCCTGCTCCACCAGCCCCCCCGCACTGGAAGCCACAGGGCAGGGCTGTGTCTGGGCAACTCGAACTGCAGCCCTGACACCCGGACATGGGCACGTTCGTGGGGCAGCACCTCAGACAAGGCGCTTCGTCACTGGGGTGGGTCGGGGCCACGTCGAGGCCGCTCGAGGTTGGGGTGACAGCACAGAGGAATCACGAACCGTGTGCAGTGACCCACCTCCCTGTGCCGGCTGTGAGTGACCAGTGACACCCCCCACCATCCTGACCGAGTCCCACCCAGAACCCAGCGCTGCTTCCACATCCCCCCGAACCGCACCGAGTCCTCCCTGACGCCCCCTCTCTGAGCCACCCCGGTGTCCCCGTCCCCAGGGGAGCGTCCTCCCTCGCTGCACCGCGGACGGACACAACCTGTTCAACTACAGGTGTGTTCCGGGGGTTTGGTGGGGGACCTGGGCCCCACAGGTGTTCTCCTTGCAGGTCAAGGTCAGACTCCTCGACCACCACAGCGGGCACCTAGAGGGCCCAAGGCCTTGGTCTGGAACATGCTGAACCCAAACACCCATGTGCCACCCACTGCGGGGAGGTCTCCTCTTCTTTCCTGTCCCCGACCTCCACTCCCCTGGAGAGGCTGGGGGGTGGCGTGGGGGACTCTGTACTGGGTGCAGGAGGAAGTCACCCCTTGGGACCCCTGGGTCTGTCACGGGCCTCAGAGGAACAGAGATGGAGGTGGGGACGGATGCTGGTGAGCAGCCCACGTGCTCTGGGGTAGGTCTGCAGCCTCTGCCCCCGCCCAGGGAAAGGAGCCTGGAACAAGCCTGAGGCTCACCTGCCACCTGCAGCTCCACCTGGGCTTCTGCATAGAAGTCTCCATCTTGGAAATAACACAGGTAGGTTCCGTTGTCAGAGACGCTGATGTTGCAAATCCGGAGAGCAGCCTTCCCCGCAGTGACGTCCTCTCGTGAAATCGAAGTTCTCCCTCGAAACTGCTCTGCTGGCGTGTCCTCCTGCCCGTGTGCGTACCTGTGCACTACCTGCCTGTCGTTGGGTCGCCACCACATCAGCTCCATGGTCTCAGCGTTCATCTTCGGGGACAGGTGACAGGGCAGGTCTGCGTCTTCACCCACCATGGCCAGGATGGGCTTGGCGGGTCCGACCACAGCAAACTTAGCGGGTCATCAGAAGGGGGGGCTCTGTCAGAGTCAGCAGGCCCAGAGGGCCAGGGGGTGATCCAGGAAGGGAGGTCGAGGTGACAGACACCTAGACGGGAACTCAGTCCTCACACAGGTGCGGTGTGGACAGGCCTTGCAGGGGTGGGAGTGGTGCAGGGTTCTGACTGGGCCCGAAGGGGAAGGATTCACACACACAGACGCACAGCCGGTCCTACCTGAGCAGGGGCTGAGCAGCAGGACCACGGCGAGGCACACAGGGAGGGCAGGCAGACGGGGCACCAGGCACCTCCCCATCCTGACCTGCTGTGCACACAGAGAGGCCAGCAGGGGCTGGGCAGCAGGGACCACCTGGAAGGAGGAGGACGATTCCATGTGGAGAGGCTGCCGGCCCAGGGCCAACCCGGGCACCACCACCATCACTGGGGACTCGAGAGCCTCCTCTGCAAATGTCCCCTGGGGGTCTCTTCCCCTTGGATCCCACCATGGAAATCAGCCATGAAATGTGGAGCGCTAATGCAGGTACCTTATCGCTGGCCAGCAGGGAGCACCGGGCTCTCCTGTGGGAACCTGCTCAGAAGCCCCCCACTGGCCCACACTTTCCTGCCATGGCCAGATGTGGTCCCCTAGACCAACCTCTGAGGGAGGCAGGCCCCTCTGCTGAGCCTTTGATCCTGATGCTGCCCCCTGCAGGCCGAGCTCTGCACAGCAGCCAGTGCGTCCTGCCCCCTCACCTCCCTCCAGCTCAGCCCCTCCTAGGGGGTCCATGTCACCCAGGGCAGAAGCCCAGGGCCTTTCCATCCTGTGCTTTAAATTACCTGAATGTTCTTTAGTCTAAAAGTTCCCAGAGTGAGGAACATATTTCCACATATTTGGGAGGATATTTATTATTTTTCATTCCTGTCACAGACCATTTTAAAATATAAAACATAAAGGAATGAAATTGAAATAAATTAGAATGGGAATTACATCCTGTGTCTCATTTGAATGTGAACTCCTGTGGATGCATTTGGCCACATGTACTCAAGGGGCGACCCAAAAAGAGAATCTATTTATAAAAATTTGCTTTTATTCTCACACCTTTAGCCTTGGGTCACCCTCACATGCCCTGCCCTGGATGCGGGGCACCCATGGGGGCGGCCCTCCACTGCCCTGAACACTCTCTGGACTTGGCGGCTCTGACGCCTCTCAGAGCTTCTGCCGTTTTGTTTCATGTCTTATGTGTCAGGACATTTCCGTTTGTGGACTCTTTTCACGCAGGAAAGAAAAATAGTCGCTCTGGGTGAGATCAGGTGAGTAGGGAGGGTGGGCACATGGGTTTTTGGTCAAAAACTGCTCAACATTCTGCAGGTGTGGACAGGTGGGATGGTAAATCACCCATCGGGAAATGGACCAGTGCTCTGGGAGAGTCGTCAAAAAATTCACTGAAGCCCAATGCAGCCTCTCACAACAACTCCAGCTGGTGACTGATGCACAAGGGCTCCTGGAACTCTCTCACCTGGGGGGAAGCCAGGACTGCAAGGGTTAACGGCAGGACACAGTATGTAGGCCCGTTTGAGGACCCACTAAAATCCTATGAGAATGTGCAAATGAAGGCAGTGAGGTCGCAGGACACAACGTGGACTCCGGGTGCACTTCCGTGCAGCAATGACGGGTAACCAGAGGGAGGTGTCATCAACCCCTCCTGTGATTGTGTCTGAAAGCAGAAACCACCCGGGAACAAGGTCAACCAGAGAGTGGACAGCCTGCGCCCTGACGGCTGGAGGAACCGAGAAAGGAGATGAAGAGGGGACACGTGACGGGGGACACACTGAGCTCGGGATCGGCAGGAGCAACACTGTCACACTGTCCTCACTGCCTGAAGCCAAGTGCAGACTCAGGCTGTCCTTGTTGAACCACCGATGGCCTTCCTGTCAGAAGGACAACAAGAAATTGTGAAATATATTTATTTTAAATCCCTTGCAGTTTATTCCTCACTGAGGAAGAGATGTCAGGGGGAGGCTGCCCCCTTTCTAACTGGCCTGACCCCTGCTCAGATTTAAGTCCCCCACCCAGTGCAGGGGACTGCGGGCGGAGGGTCACTGCCCCAGTGGTGGGAGCACTGGGTGGGATGATGGCGGAACCCCAGCCTCCTCCACAGACTCAGGGACACACAGAGGTGCGTGGTGAACCCTGTGCGGTCCTTTCTCGGACAGCCGCCCTGAATCCCGGGGGTGTCGGGGGGACCCTTTCACCACAGACACGTGTCATCCTGGGAGACACTCGTCCTGGCCACCCCATGACCCTGTGCATCTATGACACCCACACTTGGGGTGATTCCTACCAGCCAGGTTGATGTGCGGTGGGCTGCAGAAACCAAGAGGCCCCCCACGCCTCCCTGCGCCAACTCACCCTTCTGGCACTCGGCACACGGCAGGGATGCGGGCTCCAGGTGGCAGTGGGCCAAGGAGGACACAGGCTCGCTCAGGCTGCACTCCGTGATGCTGTCCAGGTCTCAGACTCTGCACACATAGGAGCCTGTGAAGGGCGGTGCACAGAGGTGATGGTGTGGCCCAGGGCAGAGACCGCCCATGGTCCCTGCGGCCTCTGCTTGAGGAGATGCCACAGCACCTGGCAGCCTGTCCCTGGCACAGCACCAACCCTCAGCTCCTGGCTCCTTGGAACCCTGTGGACTGATTCCCGGGTCCATGTGTTCCAGGGGCTGGGGACCTGACTCACCCTCGGGTCTTCCCGACATGCTGCAGCTCTGGGAAGAGGGGTGCTGAGTGTGCACCCCGAAGCCCTGTGCCCACCACTACCCCAGGGGCCGCTCCATAGCTTCTGGGTCAGTGCGCTGGGCAGCCCAGGTGGTACAGAAACTGGCGTCTGCCACATCAGGCCAGTTGATTTTTAGTAAATAAAGACAGGACTTCTTAAGAGAATACCTCCGCCCATCCCCAGGAGGGGTGGCTTGGGCTTAGGGGAAGTAAGCTCCAAGCTCCAGTCCCTGCTCCTCCCACGGCAGTCCCACCAGCCCGCCCTGCCTGGGGCTGGGAGCCACCACTCCTCCCACCTCCCACCCACAACACCCCGCCCCCCCACGCCCTGGGGTTGCAGCCACTGATACTACCCACCCCCACCTGCCTCTGGTGGGAAAGTGGCAGTGTTCTGCTTCCTCACACTTTCGAAACAGTCAGGGACTGAGCCTGCCAGGCTCCACGGAAGCCCGGGCAAAACGTGGACAGTCTCCAGTCTCCCCGGAAAAGTGGGGACCCACCTCAAGTCCCCCTCGTCAGCGTGACCTGCACTGGGGCGCACACCCCGCGGACCAGTCCCTGTCGCGTCGAGTTAGAAACCGGACCACCAGTGAACTAGGCCTTGTGTTCCCCACGCCCTCCCCCGCCTCTCCCGTAGAGAATCTGGGGTCCCGCGGGAATGGGAAAGGGGGCCGCCTGTGCGCTGGGAGAATTCCCACCCTGAACGGCTCAGACCCCAGTGCGTGGGTGCGGGGGTGGAACAGAACGCGCTGGTCTCCCCCTGCCCCAGCCCCTGCCTGCACCCTGTTCAGAGCTCGCATGTTGCTCGCGATCTCGTCCAGTCCTGGGCGACAACCGCCCTGTTGTCGGGGTCTGCCCTCCCCGAGCGCCCCGCACCCACCTACGCCCTGACGAGCAGTAGGGGCAAAGTCGGGAGAAGGGACCTTAGACACGGGAGCGAGCCCCGCTCCGGAGCAGCAGCGGAGCCGGGCGCGGTAGTTTCATTCACGCCGCAGCCCGCGCGGGTCCTCCAGGCGGGCCGATGGCAGCGGGAAGTCCAGAGCAGTCTGGACCCGGACTGCCCTCCGCAAGGCACCTGCCGTTAGTGGACGACGCAATTACAGCGTTTCTTCTGCGGGAGCTTCTCCCCGGGAGTGCATCGGCTCCCAGTGAGTCTCCTGGAGCCAAGCTAGGGAACGGAAATGCTGAAAAAATCGCCACCCTTCAGATGGCTGGGTGCCAGACTGTCCCTGAGCCCAGGGCCCTGGAGCTCCGCTGGGAGAACGCGGAAGACCCTGCAGAGGCCCGGCTGGTCCTTCTGCAGCGCCCGGACCGGCGCCCAGCCAGGGCTGTCACTCACTCTCCTCCAGGAGTCCAAGTCAGAGCGTGCACTGCTCTGAAATTTGCCCCAAACATCCATGAAAACTGCCCCTCAGACTCCCTGAAACTTGTCTCAGCCTCCCTGAAAACTGCCCCACAGCCCCTCTGAAAACTACTCCACAGCATCTCTGAAAACAGCCTCACATTCTCTCTGAAATCTGCCCCTAAGACTCCCTGAAAACTGCCCCTCAGCCTCCCTAAAAACTGCCCATGTCCACCTCCCTGAAAAGTGCTCCCAAACTCTCTGAAAACTGCCCCTCCTACTCCCTGATAACTACCCCTCAGTGTCTGTGAAAACTGCCCCTCAGCCTCTCTGAAAACTTCTCCTCAGTATCTCTGAAACCTGCCCCACAGCCTGACTGAAAACTGCCCGAGAGCCTCTCAAAAACTGCCCCTCAGCATCCCTCAAAACTGCGCCTCGGCCTCTCCAAACGCTGCCCCTCAGGGTCCCTCACAACTGCCCCTCAGCATCTCTTAAAACGGCCCCTGAGCCTCTCTGAAAACTACCCCTCAGGCCCTTTAAAAAGTGCCCATCAGCCTCTGTGAAAACTGCCCCTCATTCTCTTTGAAAACTGCCCCTCAGCCTCTGAAAATTGCCCCAAACATCCATGAAAACTACCCCACAATCTCCCTGAAATCTGCCCCTAAGACTCCCTGAAAACTGCCCCTCAGCCTCCCTGAAATCTGCCCTTCAGCCTCCTTGCAAGCTGCTTCAGCCTCCCTGAAAACTGCCCATCGGCCTCTCTGAAAACTGCCCCATAGCTTCAGTGAAAACTGCCTCTCGGAGTCTCTGGAAACTGCCCCTGAGCCTCCCTGAAAACAGTTCCTTCGCCTCCCTGAAAAGAGCTCCTTTGCTTCTCTGTGAACTGGTCCACAGCCTCCATGAAAACTGCCCCCACCCTCTCTGAAAACTGCCCCCTCTTACTCCCTGAAAATGTCACTCTGTGTCTGTGAAAACTGCCCCTCGGCCTCTCAGAAAACTGCCCCTCAGCCTCTCAGAGAAGTGCCGCCAACCTCCCTGTAAACAGCCCCACAGCCTCTCTGAAAACTGCCCCTCAGATCCCTGAAAACTGCCCCGCGGCCTCCGTGAAAATTGCCCCAAATGTCCATGAAAACTCCCCCTCAGCCACTGTGAAAACTGCCCCTCAGCCTCTTTGAAAACTGCCCACAACCTCTCTGAAAACCGCCCCTCAGCCTCCCTGAAATCAGCCCCTTAGCTTCTCTGAAACTGCC